TGCCAGCAGAAGGGCTGCTCCAAGAAGCAATGCTGCCAGTAGGCAGGCGGCCCAGCCTCTCCTCTAGGGTGAGAAACGCTGAGACTTGCTCTCTTCATTAATGAGACTTTCCTCCATCCATCCTGCCTGCTCCTTCTCCCAGACCTTCCTGCTTGGTGTCACCTGGGTGTCCTAGGACTTCCTCTTTTGGACAGTATCTCTGCTTTTGGAACTCTGCGCTCCTCTCTCTCAACCTAATAGTCTCAAACCTTTTAATTTGATAAAAATTTCAAACAAACAGGAAATGGCCGTTACAAAGATGTAAACCCAGTCCAACACTTGAAGACCAGTCACTTCTCTGAGCCCAGCCAAAGGGATCATGACTCTGAGTGTTCTATTTGACGGGTCTTCACGCAGCCTTCCAACTTGGTACTTGTCCCTCTCTGTGTCTGTGTGCACACGGTTTCTACTGCTCTTACCTTTCTATTGCTGTTGCTATTGTTTCCAGTCACCACAAAGCTGTGGCCTAAATTTCCTTATAAAACCCTAAGTGATTCTGCTTTTATTCTGCTAGGGCAGCAGGGTGCACGCAGGAGGTTTCTACCTTCTAGAACAAGTTGAATGATAGGCGTGCCGTGAGAGCGACGCCACCGCCAGGCCTCCAGGGCCCAGGCCTCCCAGCTGCCTGTCACTTTTCCATCTCGCGAGATGGGCAATTCCCTCAGATATTTCAGCACTCACTACCGTGTGCGCCTCTTCCTGAAGGGCCTGTGGCCCTGCTTCCTTGTCAGAAGTGCATCACGTGCCTCTTCAGCGACAACCCCCTCCAACCAGATCTGAATATTTCACCTAAGTCAAGGCCTAACTATTGGCAAAGGGCAAGTCCAGACAAGCTAGAACCAGAATCTTTTCATTTCTTCTCGGAAATGGTTATTGTCTTGCCATTTCTATTCCCTTAGTTCTGTTATTTGTCTATGAATTCTGTTTTTATCATCATTTCCGAGTCATTCTATGTACAAAACAAAACATTTAAGATATTTCTCCATAAGTTGTTCTTACCAGTCGCAGAACTCTACACCTTATAAAGCAAACCTATGTTTTAATGACGATTGGATTAAGAAAATGTGGTATAT